GTTAAATCATATCGCAATGACAGCAGTTCACCTCCTTGATCTTGAAGGTCATAAACAAGCTTACCACCTTCCTCGCCGTATTTACCCATGAGTACCTGAAAGAAACTAGAGAAAATATCAGATCACTGGTGCTGCTCCGCTAGGAGGGGCCTTTTTGATTCCGTGTTAACTTACAGGTCTCATTCTGGTAAGACCCGTAACTTTTTCGTCAAACTGCGAAACACTTCGAGGGATCCACCTCGGTCACAGAAACTCGCGGATCTTAGAACATAGAGATCTTCACAAAGTGGCTTCTACAAAATTAGCTGAGCACCATACAGTGCCTTCCCCCCCCCAAAGTCAAACTGCACCTTGACTGATCATGGAAGGAAATATCTTCAACTTACATCTCTCAGTTCGAAAACCGGAGTATCAATGGTCTCCGCTCCGTGCCTCTTGAACGCATCGGTGACGATCTTCAGCACAGACTCTCGAACAGCCATTGATTTTGGCCCATAGTCCCGCGTTCCTATACAAATCGGGAGATAAAAACAGAACAGATTGGAAAAAGGATAGATACCTGGCAAGCAGAAAATAATTCACCCTTAGCAGTCTTCAAGACGTACTTCCCTTGATCAGACTGACCATCACCAAGCAATTTCTTCTTTTCAAGCATAGCTGCTATTTTTTCTTTTATCTATAAGATTTCAATAACTTTCACCATAAACCAACCGAGTCTAGACGTAAAAATTCCTAGAGAATAGCCTAACTACACTAAAAAACCGCAAAGTTCTCGCGCACCCTTCTGCCACTGCGGTGTGTATAAATAACGGGTTTTCTCACTGCTGGTAGAGTAATACAAGCATTGCCTCAGAAAACGAGACGAGATCATCTTTGAAAGCCAGTCCCAGTGTCACTATAACATTCACAAATACTATTGCTTGAGGAAAGACTAGAAAAAAAAGCGAATGCGACAACAAATGGGATCACTCAATACTATCTAATTCTAACGGTAAAGCAGAACAAATTATGTGGATAGGTCAGGGCTTGGCCTAAAGTTTCGGGCAGGAATATACACCACTTCTTCCCACCTGCTACATATGAAGCCACTGAGAGTGGGTCTCAGGATCATGATACCTCCTCTCGCTGAAGAAAATTTCTGCAAAATACGGCTCTTCCCCCATGGCTTCTGAATTTTCCTTTTCTCCAGAGTTTTACTGTCGAGGGGGAGGGATGTAACACGTGAAATGGGGAAACCGCGGAAAGTCAACAATGCGGAAAGGCTTTCTCATTCGCGGAAAAATCTTCTGTGGAAGATACAACTCCCACAGAGCCACCAGCGAGCCCCCCCCCATCTTCCAATGGGAATCTCCCAACTTGAAAAAGGGAAAGCAACCATAGAAAAAAAATTTCCCAGGGCGAGTACGACTACCCTCCCTCCAGCAACCGTGTACAACCCTCTGCTGGGGCTTTCCCAGCGTACGACATGCCCTGCCCAGGATACCAGCGGAGCCGCCATACCTTCCTATCTGCCCTCTTCCCTGCTTAGAGTGCGTACATACTTTATCTCACCGCTCTGAGCGCCTGTCAGCGTTTTCAGCGTCCGCCAGCGCATTGAGCGACTGAGAAGTTAAATTCGACTACTGCTGAAAACGCTAGTTGGTGCTCAAAACTCTTGATCGATACCTATACTTTCCTAATTGCTCAAAATGCTCGAAGCACTGCCGCAAAGTATGAACGAACTCTTGCTCCGACCTTTCAATGCTCGGTTAGAGGATCTGATAGGAGGGCAATTCCTACCCCTCGCAGTGAGAGATCATCCGGTTGAAAAAGGCCCTGTAACCGTGTCACCTGTTTTTTAGCAAGACCAGGAGACACTCATGACACCAACTTTTTCGAAAAATCAGTTCCCGAAGTTCACCAGGCCTTTTGTCAGTATTTGCCTTTCAGGACGAGATTCCGTAGAAACAGTAGAACTATCTCAAAAATCGACAATTAGCTGCAGGGATTAGGTGACGCTGTGGTTTCGCTCTCGTAAATTCAACAAAACGATACAAAAGCTACACCATTCGGCAGAAGGGTGCAAAGATAATTGGGAATGGTAAACGCACCAATGCTGCATCAGCTTTTTCTGCTTTCAAAGACCTAATCTCATCCCCCATTGCTTTGATCTCATCTTGCAGAACTTGGACATCTACGTCAGACATATTTTCGTACTACTAGCCAATTTTTACCCTAGAATCAGTAGAAAGATAAGAGCATCATATAAAATATGTGACCACACGAAACTACACTAAAGACTGGGCGAAAAAAATGCCCTATATCCAAAAAGTCAATCAAATAAAGAATGACAATTATTATTGTTTTAATAAAGCCACCAAAACTGTAATATGAAACCCAGTTATCATATTCTATACTACAACACGAGTTCACAGTTTTTCGAATAACAGAAACTGGCTAGAACATGAAATTTAAAGTCTGTAGGGACGAACATGAAAACAAAATCTGTAGGAATTCTAGGCTAAAATGCACGGCTTAACGGATCTCCGAAGACTGCTAATTCGCAGTTCAGCTACGCGATGGCCACAGAACGTACTATTGAAGTGTGATAGCAAAAAAGGAAAAAACATTCCATATACAAATAAAAACTCAGGTCCACAAGGAATGTACAACGGCACGCGAAAGTTCCGACTAGCTCGTGTAATTGCGTACTAGTGCGATTACCGTAGCGGTACGCCTAGATTTATTGTGTGGCTTTCAGCACATGTGTGATTTTAGATGTTGAAGAAAAACCTCGAGTGCTATGGTACTTCGTCAAAGCCCGCCAGGGCTGAGCATGAGCTACAGAGCTTCCTACTCACTGAGCCAGCTTTCCTGCATAGCATTGCCTTCAAACTTCGCGACTCGAGTCGCTCAGTTGCTCGATTCGGGAAATGCGTGACTGCAAGCGAGTGCTCTCCTCCGCTAGATCTGGAACTGCTATGTCGTCGGCCGTTGCAGCGGTCCAACGATTAGCAGTGGAGCGCGGTCGGTTAGAGCCAGCGAATGAGCGGAGTATGAACGTGGCCTAAGCAGTAGATCTTCGCTCAACTCTGTAACAGTACAGATCATCTATGGTTCCGTTGCCACTTTAGGCTATTGGCGTACATCTTCTTTTGAATGTATGCGCAGTTTGATATTGTCGCAGTCATTCGGGGAGGTTTTAAGGGAAAAGGAACGAGCCTACCCGCGGTGTTCCACCATTGGTTACTTTTTTCTGAATCGAAAGACAACCGAAGGCGAGTTTACACACGAGGGGCAGGGCAAAGATACTGATTCTAGCCGTTTCGGATCTTCAGTGTTGTAAGAGTTGACCCAATTCAAAAAACACTATGGCTGAAATGACAGTGAGCAGGTTCCCAATGTAGTGCATAACCCAGAAGCTGAAACTTTTATAACCCACGAAATCCGAAAGGCTAGAGTCTTTAAAAGGCATATAGTGAATCATCTTTGGTTCATTATGTAGATCTTGGCAAAACTCTGCAAATTGTCACGCGCGTGAGCCCCTGAAAAAGGCAATGACTTCAATCGGGAGTCCTGACCCACATCCTTCTTCACAGATTTCCTCAGCACTTTTCAGTACTTTTTATCACTTCTCAAACATCCACGCTACAACCGCGCTGAAAGCACTACAGCTCTTGATATGAAGGGTATCAGAGCGCTGAATAAGTGTTTACTGTATATTATTTCATTTTTATGAGAAAACCGAGTGAGGTTCATTCACTCGTTCGCTGGCCAATCATTCCACCCGAGTACGGCTCTCTACTCGATTAGTTCCTAACCCGAAGGTAACTCAAGCGCTTTCTTTCAACCTTATAGTCAGCACCTTACTAGTAGGCTGATTTCAGGATGGCTGAAGTAGCCGACAAGGCAGCGGCAGCCATGCCTAAACCTGCCGAACAACCGAAAGAACACAAAGAACAGAAAGACCAAAAAGAACCACCAAAAGAAAGAAAAATTGAAAAAGATCGATTACCAGTGATAGATGAAGAAATTCACGGAGACGAAAAGAAATACAAGTTAAAACAGGTTCTTGGCGATGGCGGCTACGGTACTGTATTCCTCAGTGAAGACGGTCAAAAGTAAGATTTTCAGATTGTCCTACAGAGATGAGGAGCTTATCCCTCCGAAACGGATTTGGCCCCGATTACTCTATAACGAATCGACGCTATGTGCTTCGGGAGGGACCACGCTGCAGCAAGGGTGTGCGACAAGACAGTAGTAATATGCCGCACTGGGTGCGGCGAGCGACGTCGCGCACGAATTGCACTGCCCGGCCGTTAGAAAGTAAATGCTGAAGGGACGGGAAAGATCGATTCCACGCGTTATGCAGTTTTGCTTTCGCTTCAATTAACATGAGTTTCGCTGTTCTAATCAACCAACTGGTGCACACTGAGAACTTGCCGCGCACCGCCGCAGAATGTGTCGCGCGCGACGGCGCGGGAGGTTACGATTGTATTGACCGTCTCCCCTCCAGCAAGACTGTTCGTCTCCACACTCCCACAGATACTGCGTGCCATGTTCTGAAATGGCTTGTTACTCAACGTCATGGCATGTCACCCTTTCATGTATAGTGTAGTTCGCTGCGGACGGTTGGGCGTGTCAGGCGGGATGAGTTTGGCGCGGTGCCAAACCCGTTCTCCACCAGTTGTTAAAGCGAGCAAATGATATGACTGTATCATATCGTTCGTATTACTCGTTTTCTACCACTTTTTGTCGCATGCGCGCTTCAACAAGAAGGCAGAGAACGGCTTTGACGGGGTGACACACTCATACTGCCTGACACGCCCAACCGTCCGCAGCGAACTAGATATTAGACTCGCTAGAAAGCCGTTTGTCCCGTCTTTGTTCACCTCCTCTTTACCTCTACTTTCTGGGAGTGGTCCTTCTGTTTCTGAGACAATGAACAAAAGCAAGCGCACATTACTTTTCAAGACACGCCCGGGTCCAAAAATGGTTAGGTGTACGGCGCAAACACCTGAGATGACAAGTAACACCATGAAGAGCAGCCAGAAACTGAAAAAAATCGGCCAGAAATCGGGGGCCATTGCTGAACTCGTGTACGCCACACAGTTGGCTGAGCGAAATACTTTTGCTGCGCTGATTTATTGTAATTTATGACCACTGACATAGACGGTGACCTCTGTACGGATTCCTATATCTGCACTGAAGACATTCAGCTCAAAAGGAGAAGACAGGCCGTTTTCTGCTTTTGAGCTACAACCTGTGTCTCCCTGTTGGACCTTATTAATGATCAATTCTCAAGAACCAGTGCTTATCATACTGCGAAAATATCTACCATTCTTCGAAAACCCAAGAAGTTAAAGGCACAGTTTGCGACCGCAAATTGCGGGAAACGGAACTCAGATAGGCACAAAAAAGTGCTACGTATCTGATTAGCGGAGAAAAGCAGCAGAAGAAGCAGTTCGAAATCTTATAGAGAAAGATAACATAGTGGCTACTAGCTAGTAGCTAGCAGCCGGTGAGGGTCGGCATGGGCCTAAGGGGTGTCCATGGGCCTAATTAGTCAGCTTCTAGCGGAGTTCTTGCCGTTTTTCACATTTTGAAAGTAGCGCAGCCTCAAAAATCGCCTTCCCGGATCGTCCGACACATTTGAGAGGTCATAGCCTTATTTTATTGCGGATGTGCCCTTTAGCGGTTGGAAGGCGTATCGAGGCGCAGATGCGCTAACAGTGTCGGCATGACTAATTTCATGGGTACAGTAGAGCACTCTCCTCACAATCATTTGTTTCTGGCTCTGAGGTATTGTTCGCAGTCTGCGAACCTGCGGAATCGGCGAAAGAGACGCTTCTGCGAAAAGATTTTGATACGTATGCGTTTCGGCGAAAAGGTTTTGATTGTATCGACAGGAGTTCGACGTTTCCTAGTGTGAAAACGCTAGCGCCGTCTGCTCCGGCGTTTCTCCCTCGGCCAGGAACAGCGATAATTCGCACATTATAACCCCTTCAGCCGAACCTCCATTTCATCAGGGTCGCAGACGAATGGAAACAATACCTTATTCATTTCCTGCACTGACGGACTATCACTAGGCTTCGTACTTTGTCGGAATGCCGAGAGTGAGGGCCGGTCGAATCACGCCTCTGTGCCTACCGAGTTAGCGCGGGGGAACCGTTGCCCTTCGCCTGAGGCCTCTACTTTTTGAAGATTTGAGCTATTATATAATGGCCTCGTTGCAAACCCTATATTATTCGAATGGTGAGAGTGAGACCACTGTGAGCCACTGCTATTGTTAGGCGCGCTTAACGAGTTCAGTGAGGCTCCCTTCTAAAGCCTCTTATCAGCTCCCATCGGTTTTTATCTGTTCCTGCTCACCACCAACGTACCAGTCGCATCCGCCATTATCAATTATCAGTTCAAACATTCTAGGTTCAACCAAAGGAAAGTTTATGAATTTTCATTCACAACACAACACCAGCGTATAAACTTAGGGAATGATATACGGTAGGATAAGGCGAAGAGAGAGAGTGGTCGGACGAGTGCTCAGTTGTTTGTGCCAGCTCTTCTTCCTTAACATCTCACTCTCACCAATCGAAAAGGAAAGAGTTAATAGCGGAACAGCCGCAATATCAGCTGCCACTTGAAAATGGAAATAAGGCGGCGTCTACTTTGCAGTAGCGTCCACCAGCGTTCCGAGCGTCCGGCAGCGTCAGCGACTAGGAAAGTATAGATATCGATCTAGCGTCTGCCAGCGTCCTCCAGCGTCTACCAGCGTCGGGAGAGGAGAGTATGGCGCGATGGGGGGTAGTAGACTTTCCTGGTACCCTCCTGTCGTGCCATACTCTTCTCTGGACGCTGGTAGACGCTGGTGCACGCTGGCAGACGCTAGATCGATACCTATACTTCCCTAGCCCTCGAGACGCTGGTGGACGCTGGTAGACGCTGGCAGACGCTAGATCGATATCTATACTTTCCTAGTCGCTGACGCTGCCGGACGCTCGAAACGCTGGTGGACGCTGCCGCAAACATGAACGCAACCTTGGACGTTGTCGTGGCCACTGGGGAGAGCGGTGGCTCATCGTGGGCGGGTCACGCTCTCCCGTATTTTCAGGCTGTGGCAGTAGTACATTCTCTGTGCCTGCGGACAGAACTACCTTGTCCGAAGAAGGCGTCTAAACATCAGTTCAACGCGGAGCATGCCTTTGAGCCC